GCGCACCGCTCCTCACTCCTCCGAGTTTCCTCCGACCACTGCTCCTCTGCAGACTCTCCACATGGACGTGTGGGGCCCGGCCCCCATCGGTGGAACGGACCAGGAGTGCTACTTCCTGCTGGTTGTCGACGACTACACACGCTACACCACAGTCTTCCCCTTGCGGCGCAAGGCGGACATCAGCGGTGTTTTGATCCCCTAGATCCGTGCTACTTGTCACCAGCTGCGCAAGCGGTTTCATCGGGACTTGTCAGTCCTGCGTCTCCACTCTGACAGGGGCGGTGAGTTCTCTTTCGGCTTCCTTGAGGAGTTCTGTCGAGACGAGGGCATCTGCCAGATGTTCACGCTTCTGGCCTCTCCTCAGCAGAATGGGATTGCTGAGCATCACATCGGCTTGATCATGGAGGTTGCTCGTACCTCCATGATCCATGCGGCTTCTCCCCATTTTCTGTGGCCGTTTGCGGTCCGATACGCCGCGCATCAGCTCAACCTCTGGCCGCGTGTCTCTGAGCTAGAGCCACCCTCCGGTGGATGGGGAAGGCTGGCGATGCATTGGTGTTTCGGGTCTAGGGCGCGCTCTCCCTTGGTCGCGATGCCAAAGCGAGCAAGCTCTCCTCTCGCACTCTCCACTGCGTCTTCCTTGGCTTCCCCACCGACGCCCCGCCGTGGCAGTTCTACCACCCGCGCTTGCGTCTAGTCTTTTCCTCCCAGTTCGTCACCTTTGACGAGTCTGTCTGTTTCTACAGGCTACACCTGCACGCGTCCCACCCGGTCCCCCTCGCGCCTCTCTTCCTAGTACCAGTCCCCCCTCTCCGGTAGACCCCCACCCCCCACAGGGTGCTGCTCCCTCAGGTGTGTCTCAAGTACACCCACCCCCCTTGGTTGAGCCTCTAAAGATTGACTCCTCTGGCCTAGCTGAGGGGGATGACCCCGCCGTTGACGACACGGCGGCCACTCGCCGCTCTCCACGCTTGGAGACCCCCCCTGGTTTTCCGCCTCGGCCATCTTCGCCGCCTCCGCAGCCTGTTGCTGTGGACTATGGAGCTGAGACTGCTGGTGCTGAGCTTGGGGGTGCTGAGACAGAGGGTGAGGGTTCTGGGGGTGCTGCGCCTTGGTGTGCTGCGACTGGGGGTGCTGGTTCTGGGGGTGCTGTGACTGGGGGTGCTGACTCTGGGGGTGCTGCGAGTCCTAGTGGCGGTGGAGCTGTGGGTGACCCTGCTGGAGGTCCTGGAGCTGCAAGTTCTGGAGGTACTGGAGGTGCTACTGGTGCTGGAGCTGCTGGCACTGGAGGTGCTGGTGCTGCTGGTGTTGGAGGTGCTGGAGGTGCTGCTGGTGCTGGAGGTGCTGGAGGTGCTGGAGGTGCTGGAGCTGCTAGTGCTGGAGGTGCTGCTGGTGCTGGAGGTGCTGGAGCTGCTACTCCTAGAGGTACTGCTGGTGCTGGAGGTGCAGGAGCTGCTAGTATTGGAGGTGCTGGAGCTGGTAGTTCTGGAGGTGCTGCTGGTGCTGGGGCTGTTGGAGGTACCACTACTGGAGTTGCTGCTGGAGGTGCTAGAGCTGGTAGTGCTGGAGGTGCTGCTGGTGCTGGACCTGCTGGTGCGCTTCGCCACCTTCTCGGTCTTCCACCAACTCCCATTGAGTTCCCAGTCGCTGGTACGACTCCTCCGTTACTGTTCCCACAGCTACTGCCTCACTCCCCACTGCCTGCTCCTGCTCCTTACACTGCTGTGACAGAGTCCTTGACTGAGCGTCGAGAGTCTGAGACTTGTGCTTCCACTCCTGAGCGTCGAGAGCCTGAAACTAGAGCTTCCGTTCCTGCTCTTGGTCGTCGTGTGCGTTGTCCTCGTGCTCCGGCTGTCCCAGGCACTCACGATATGACACTCCGTCATTCCTGTGTTCCACACAGTGTTGTTCTACCGTCACCTCCTATGTCTTCTCTTCCTAATGTTGCTGACCCTCCGTCTGACCTTGCTCGTGCTTCCAGTCCGTCTATCACTCGCTTGCTTGCTACAGTTGTGACGGACCCCTACGTTCTCGTCTCCTGCTGCGTCTGCCTTAGTCGCTGAGCTAGTTGACTTTGCTGCTGCACGCCGCCTAGACTACCTTGCGAGTCTTGTTTCTGACCCTGACCCTGTCTGTCCTCCGTCCGTCGAGGGTGAGGTTGCCCTTGGCTGTGACGTTCTTGAGGACAAACAGGAGGAGCTGGAGTGTCTTGCGGCCGCTGCACCTCATCTCGCGACCATGCTGCTTGTCCCTGAGGGAGACCCGGATGCACTTGACATCCCCACCCCGCTCTTACAGAGAGGCAATCTCGGGTGAGTACTCCTCTCAGTGGCAGACAGCCATGGACGCAAAGATGGCTTCCTAGAAGTCCACAGGCACCTACGTTGACGAGGTTCCCCCACCTGGGGCGAACATCGTCAGTGGCATGTGGATTTTCAGGGTGAAGCGGCCGTCGGGTTCTCTGCCTGCCTTCAAGGCACGTTACGTTGCTTGAGGCTTCAGTCAGCGTGAGGGGGTCGACTTCTTTGGGACCTTCTCCCCCACCCAAAAAATGACCACTCTTCGGGTGTTGCTACACGTTTCAGCTCAGCGTGACTACGAGCTGCACTCCCTCGACTTCTCGAAAGCGTTCTTGCAGGGCAGCCTCCACGAGGCCATCTGGCTGCGCCGTCCACCTGGCTTCACTGGGTCGTTTCCTGAGGGTACTCAGTGGAGCCTACGGCGACCAGTGTACTGCCTCTGTCAGGCACCTCGCGAGTGGCACGACACACTGACGACACCACTTGCGGCTCTTGGGTTTGCTCCTTCGACTGCTGACCCATCGCTGTTTATGCGCACCGACACTACCCTTCCGCCGTTCTACGTGCTCGTGTACGTCGGCTACTTGGTTTTTGCTACTGCTGACACAAAGGCGCTGGCTCTAGTGAAGGCGGAGCTGCAGGAGAGACACACCTGCACTGACCTGGGTGAGGTGTGGAGCTATCTTGGCTTGCAGATCACCCGAGACAGAGCACAGCGCACCATCACCCTGACTCAGTCACACATGGTGCACCAGGTCCTCCAGCGCTTCAACTTCCAGTACTACTCGCCACAGGCCACTTCTCTGTCTACCGGTCACTCGCTCTCAGCTCCACCTTCGGACGAGTCCGTAGAGCCGAGTGGTCCGTACGCAGAGTTTGTGGGTTGCCTCATGTACCTGATGACGTGCACACAACCTGACCTCGCGTACCCTCTCAGCCTCCTGGCTCGCTACGTGGCACCTAGCAGATACCAAAAGGTGCACTTCGATGCTGCGAAGAGGGTATTGCATTACTTGTGCAGCACATCGGGCATGGGGCTCGTGCTTGGAGGACGGGGTTCAGTGGTACTCACAGGACACTTTGACGCTTCTTGGGCCGATGACCAGGCGACTCAGCGTTCGTCCCAGGATTACACCTTCAGTCTTGGCTCTGGTATTGTCTCGTGGAGGTCCACTCGTTCTTCTTCTGTGCTTGGTTCCAGCTGTGAGGCTGAGATCTACGCTGGGGCCATGGCTGCACAGGAGCTACGCTGGCTGACCTACCTGCTGACCGACTTTGGCGAGCGGCCTCGTTCTCCTCCAGTTCTGTACATCGACAACAAGGCAATCCTTGCCTTGTGTCGCGAGCAGAGACTGGAGGACAGAACGAAGCACATTCCTCTTCGCTACTTCCTTGCGCGTGAGCTGCAGCAGCGTGGTCAGCTGCGCCTTGCTTACGTGGCCTCTCGGGCCAACACTGTTGATGTCTTCACTAAGGTCCTTGGGGCTGGTGATCATCGACGTTTCTGTACTGCTCTTGGGCTTGTGCCCACTCTGCCTCACCTGCTGGTTGCTTGACTTGTCTTGTACTGTGATCTATATATATATACCTGCATGCTTGCTCTTGCTAGGTTGTGATCACTGTACTGCTTGTGCTTTTATAACTCTGCATATGAACTGGCCTTGTGGCCGCTTGCTTGTGCTCAGAACGCGTGGTGACCTTGTGATCCACCCTGAGCTTTGCTTTGCTTGTTCTCTTGCTTGACTGGTCTTGTGACCGTCTGTTGTGTTTGCTATCTCCCACTTAGCCTATGGGGGTGTGTCAAACTATATGTTTATGTTTGCATTTCTCTAGGCCACATTGGGGCTATCTTTAGGGGGTGTAAAAACCATCTCGATACTTTCCTTGTACCCCCCCCCTCAACCTAATCGACATCATTCTCTCTACTCTAGTGACCTAGACTAGTCAACATTCTAACACTGAACTGGCCTTGTGGCCGTTTGCTTGTGCTCGGAATGTGTTGTGATCTTGAGATCTACCCTGAGCGTTGTCTTGTTGTTTCTCTTGACTGGTCTTGTGACCCTTTGTTTCCCTTTCTAGTTCTTGGATGCACCTCACTTAGCCTATGGGAGTGTGTCAAATAATGAATGCATCGTTAGGCTTCTAGGCTACAGTAAGTTGGCCTTAGAGGGTACAATACTTTCTAGGTTACTCTTTGTATCTCCCTCACTTTTCAATCATCACAATCCTCTCGACATTGGTTCCTTCCTAGGCTACTTTAAGACCTGGTAGCACAATGTAAGGGGTTCATTACCAGTATACCGCGTGTCACCGTGTAAGGGGTATATTTATGCAAACAGGTTCTACTACGGTAGTACCGTATTAATGTGAAGTAAAAGTTCAGGGTTTACGGTAGCACAAGCGGAATTGATTGGACTACGGTAACAGGAGAGTGACACGAATAGCAAACCCTGAAAGTGTTGTACACACTAATGAGCAACTCAATCTACGGTGGCTTAACACTACCGCGAATAGAATTTGACAATGGGGCCCAAAAGCACCACCAGACGGATCATCAAGGAGTTCCTGTCCTGACCTACGCCCCCTATCATGAAGGCTAACCATCTGTTACTACCAGTCTATTCTAGGGTACCGTAAATGAATGGGGACGTGTTATAATATGGCGATGGGTTTAAAAACAAAGAGGGAGCAGTGATGTGCTCAGCTGTCAAAGCTCCCATCACAGGGCGAATGCTCGTACCATTCCTTCCCTTTGAGAAAGTCTTCCAGGCATGGAGGCACGTGGGGCATGGGGCCATCGCAAGTGACTCTGAAATGACGGAGCAACGTGAACTGGGAGAGGAAAGGCGGGAGAGAGTGCAAGCGGCGCCAGTGGAGGAGGTCGAGACGAGTGAGGCGGGAGAATTTGAGCAGCGAGGATGGGAGGTGCGGCAGGTCGCAGCGGCAGATTTGAAGCGTGGCGAGGCGAGGCGGGCACGTGAGATAGGGCTGGGAGCAGCCTCTGGTGATGTTGGAGAGGCGGAGGGTGTGCAGGGAGGAGAAGCAGGAGAGGCATGCAATGAAGTCCCGGCAGTCAGCGTTGTCCACCACCAGAGTGGTCAGCGCCGTGAGCTGCGTCAGGTGACGATCACTGTCATATCCCGACAGCTTTGCACTGTGCAAGTGCAGGAAGCGGAGGTTGGCAGAGCAGCCACTCTCCACCTTCCAGGACACATATCGGCTGCCAGCGAGTGCCATGTGCTCCAGGGCAGGGAAGAGATCCATGTCGATGTGGGAAGAGGGGCCTGAGTTGCCGAGCAGCTGCAGCACCTTGAGCTTGGGAAACACAGGCGCCGTCCATTCACCGCTGTCTGTGCACCACGCGCAAAGATTCCCCTCGGAGTAACGGATGAGGTCGGCGCGCACGTCGAGCTGCTCCAGAGATGCTGCCACGCGCGCTATGAACCGAGCGACGTACATGGGATGATCGGGGCATTGCACGCGCAGGCGACGCAGGCGGGGCAGGTGGGGCAGGCAGGGTGAGTCGGAGCTGTCGCAGCGGCTGTTGCAGGCGAGGAAAAGGTCCTCCAGGCGAGTGAGACGAGAGAGGTCGTTTGCGCAGTGGAGGGATGGGAGGGAGAGCGAGGTGAGGCGGGTGAGGTGGGGAATGAGAGAGGGGAAGAATTGGTAGTGGGAGAGAGAGAGGGAGGTGAGGTTGCAGAGAGGCAGCAGTCTCTCTTCAGTAAGTCTCGAGGCAACACCTGCATTGGCAAACCCATTGCTTTGCTCCTCCTCCTCCTCATCACCATCATCACCATCATCCTCTCCCACCCCTTCCTCCTCTTCCTCCCCCTCCTCCTCCTCCTCTTTCTCCTCCTCCTCCTCCTCCTCGTCATCATCATCCAGTCCCGGAATCCAGAGGTTGGAGTCGAGGCGAGTGAGGGAAGTGAGGCAGGAGAAGGAAGAGGGCATGGTGAATACGGGGAGGTGCAGGGAGAGGGTGGAGAGGCAGGAGGGCAGACCCAGCAGCAGGTCGCCAGACACGCTACTCCAGCTGCTGCCGTCCTCAGGAAGGTAGTAGCGGTGAAGGGTGTTAGGCACGTACAGAGAGAGCGAGCGGAGGGAGCGGAGGTGGGCGAAGGGGGAGTGGAGGGAGAGGCAGGGCGGCATGGGGTCTTCTGGGAGGGCGAGGGCGAGGGAGGTGAGGTGCGAGAGGAGGAGGAGGGAGGAGGGAAGGCGGGAGAGAGGGAGGGAGAGGGCGGTGAGTTGCGGGCAGCGGAGGAAGAGAGAGTCGGGGAGTTTGAGTCGGTCTGTGAGGGTCTCCCCTTGAACGCACAGCTGGTTGAGTCCCCGGCATCTCTTGATCACGGCAAACAGCCCCCTCTCCATCTCTTGATTCGCCTCCGTGCCAGCAGCCTCCCACCAGCCGTCCTGCCAGCCTTCCGGCCCATTTCCCCACCTGTATTCGGGTAGAAAACCGGGCTCTAGGAGCAAGGAGAGGGAGGTGAGAGCAGGGAGAGCGGCAGCAGCAGCGAGCAGAGAGCGCAGATGAGAGGGGCGGAGGGGGCGGGTCGTGGTGGAGACGAGGGGAAGGGCGAGCGTAGAGAGGTTGGGGTAGCGGGCGAGGGTGTGGGCGAGGGAGGCGGGGGAGGGGAGCGAGGAGAACCAGATGGGGGAGAGGTGTTCCTCGGCGCTTAGATAGTGGGTGAAGCAGGTGGAGAGGGAGGAGGGGGTGATGGAAGGGGGGAGGGTGAAGGGAGGGTGGGAGGAGGGGAGCAGGGAGAAGGGGGAGGTGGGGGAGGAGTGGATGACCCAGAAGGGAGAAACGGAGGGGAGCCACGCGGAGGAGAAGAGAGGAGAACCGTTGAGACCTGCTGCTGCTGCTGCTGTTGTCTCGTGGTGGCTTATCCTGCTGGGACTGCTGCAAACAGGCTTGGAGGAGGAAGAAGTGGAGGGAGGGGGGTGGAGCAGGGGGATGGGCAGCCAGGCGAGTGTGAGGGGGTGGAGGGCGAGGGCGAAGCAGGAGGTGTGGAGGCGGCAGCAGTGGTGCCACTCGCGGCACACCAGTCTCACTCTCGCCTGCTCCACAGGACTCTGCACCCGCTGCACCACGCTTTGCAGCACCTCCCATGGCAGCTGCAACAGCTGTGTACCGTTGGGAGTGCTGCTGTCATCACTGTTGCTGATTCCGCTGTTCTTTGGATGCTGTAACACCCCTACTGAAAGTTTCTCTGGTTTTAAGTTCGGTTGGTCGTGCGAATCATGATTGTAGTCACCCGCGTCCTTGCATGAGCCTCTCACCTTCACCTCCTGTACCCCTTGCACCAACTCGCCTCCCTGCTCCGCCTCCTGCCGCCGTTCTTCCTCCTCCTGCCGACGCTCTTCCTCCTCCTGCTGCTGCTGCTCGTCCTGCCCCTCTCCTACAACCTCACTCCACTCCCACTGCTCTTCCGCCTTCCTCCCCACCTGCCTCCACCACTCCCTCTGCTCCTTCTTCTGCTCTTCACTCAACACCGATCCCTCAAACACACTCTGAATTATCATCTTTCTCTTCCTCTCCTCCTCAATCTCCCATTCTGTCTTCGGTTTCCTCCCTTGATGCCCCTTCCTTTTCTTCTCCTCCTCCTTCTCTCGCACCCACCCTTTCCCCTGCAGGTACCCTTCAAGCTCCAGGGGCACCACAACAGGGTTGCAGCCACGGTCGAAGGAGAAGTGGGTGAGGGAGGAAAAGGTCGAGAGGAAGGAGGGGAGGGCGCGGATCGGCATACACTGAAAGAGGTGGAGGCGAGTGAGGGAGGAGAAGAGGCGGAGGCAGTCGGGGAGGAAGGGAGTGTGGGAGTGGCAGATTTGGAGCGATGTGAGGTGGGGAGGGCAGGAGAGGGCGGAGTGGTAGTTGTGCATGGAGAGGTTGAAGATGCGGAGGGCAGTGAGGGCGGGGAAGAGGGCGAGCGACGCGAGGAAGCGCGAGGAGTGCGGGTAGGACCCCACTATGAGCGTGCGCAGGTGGGGCAGCACGGGCAGGGGTGCACGTGGGGGGGAGTGGATGCGCAGGAAGGTGAGGTTGGGGAGGAGGTGCGGCAGGATGGTGGGTGCGTGCATGGGCGGGTGGGACGGCCGTGGGGAGTCATGGATGGCCAAGTGGGTCAGGCGCGGCAGCATACCCATGAATGCGAGCGTATGCTGCGGCTGCGGCTGCTGCTGCGGCTGCTGCTGCTGCTGCCGCTGCGGGCCAGTATCCTCTGGTCTTGAGGGCCCTTGCCCTGAGTGAGAACATGCATGGTTTCTCACGTTGACCAACACAAGCTCCTCAAGAAAAGGAAAGAAACACGCAGGTAGCTTATCTGCTCCACCACATGCGCCCTTCCCCACATCCCCCTCCCCTTTCGCCTCCCCCAATGCCCCCCCCCATCCTTGTACAGCCACGAGGGGCGAGCCTTGGATCTTGAGGGACTGCAGCTGAGGGCACAGCCGGCCCCACACTGCCAATGGGATGACGCCAGCTGTCCCCGTGAGAGTGATGTGGCGGAGGGAGTCTGACGAAGGGGTTGCTTCGGGGCTTGTGGGAGGTTCGGCGAGACCAGTTGCAATTTTGGTGTAGCAGAAGGTTGGTTTGGCGGGACCCTCACCATTCACGTGCAGATGAGACAAACGGGGCCACTGGGTGAAGAGAGCGAGAGAAGCGGGGGATTGGAGAGGGGAGGCGAGGGGGATGGAGAGGAGAGTGAGGGAGGAGAGGGAGGAGAGGCAGGGAGGGAAGGTGCGGTGAGCGAGGAGGGAAAGAGAGGTCAGGTTAGAGAGGGCAGCAAGGCATTGATGGTGCCGCTGGTGGGGGTGTGTAGAATCGTCGCTGCTGGAGGAACAGCAGCAGCGGCAGGAAGAGGAGAGGGAGGCGTGCGGGGCAAAGAGGGCGTTGAGGCCCATGCAGTGCCACTCGCCTCCCACGTTGGTGGTGAGCTGCTGCAGGCGCGTGAGCGACCACAGCGAGGCAGGCAGCCACCCCACCACCGAGTCCTCCCCACCCCACCCATCCCCCACCCATCCGCCTCCATCCTCCTCCTCCTCCTCCTCCTCCTCCTCCTCCTCCTCCTCCTCCTCCTCCTCCTCCTCCTCCTCCTCCTCCTCCTCCCCTCGTCCTCCTCCCTTCCGCTCGCCGTTACCTCCTTCACTCTCCCTCATCCCCCCACCCCCACCCCTTTTTCCCTGCGCCCTCACACCACGCCTTTTCCTCCTCATCTCTTCCCCCCCTGTCGGCTTTGCACACACTAGGAACGTTAAAGACGACAGGGTCGGTCCGAGCCCAGCAAACAGGTCCGGCGAGAGAGGCTCGAAAAGGGGGGTGGTGGGGGTTCCAAGGGAGAGGTGGAGGAGGGAGAGGCGGGAGAGAGAGTGGAAGGGGCGACCGGAGAGGAGGAGAGGGTGGTGGGGAGCAGAGAGGGAGAGACGGAGGGAGCGGAGGGAGGAGAGGTGGGGAAGGAGATAAGGCGGGAGGTCGAAGAGCGGGAGCGAGAGGTGGGCGAGACGGGAGAGCAAGGCAGCTACTTCTTCACTCATTGTGAGGTAGTTGTTGCTACAGAGGACGAAGTGCAGTGCACTAGACGGCAGCTCATAAACAAGGTGCAGCGACCGCAGGTTCACGCAAGAGCGCGCCAAGCCCATCATTTCCCCAATATGCCACGCGCGGCCTGAGTATCTGCCGGTTGTCACGGGCATGTGCAGCGCGCTGACGTGCTGCTGATTTCGCTGCGACAGCAGCTGCTCGAGTCGCGTGCGCAAGGCAACGGGGAGCGGAAGGGGCGAGACATGATGCGGGTCGATGAAGGGGCGGGACGATTCAGGGTCGTGGCAGCCGTAGTTGCAATCGTAGTACCCCCAGTCGCACATCACCGTCACGCGCCTCAGCTGCTCCATGCCCATCAGCTCGTCCACTAGGAACGGCGCTGCATGCCGCCCCTCTGCTGCTGCTGCTGCTGCTGCTGCTGCTGCTGCTGCCGCCGCCGCCGCCGCCGCTTCCGCTGCTGCTGCGCGCACATCTGCCTCGGCTGCGCCTGCGAGTGGTGCTGGTGGCGAGGATGGAGGTGGCGGGTGGGAGGGGGAGGAGTCAGAATTCCTTGCCCAGGTCTCCGCGCGCGGCGGACCTTCCATGTCAAGGCGCGGCGGGCCTTCCATGTCAAGGCGCGGCGGGTCGTCCGTGGTCCACAGTTTCGGCCGCGGCGGCCAGCGCGCCTCTTTCAAAAAGTCATCATGGCACCTGCAGCGCCGGGCGCACGCGTCCCCGTGTCGCAGCTTCACGAGCCGCCATTGAAGCGCGTGCGCGTCGAACAAGCACGCGAGCCCTGAGTTGCTCATTGACCCGCCGTCGTAGCACGTTCTGCTATATTCAATTTTACTCTTTATAGCTCTGTATCTTCAACTTGAAGATATATGTTACCTATAAGCTCGCTGCTCGCGAGCAGCCGCGGGAAACGCAACAGTCGCGCAAGTCCTCGCGCTGAAGAAATGACGGGGAGCGATGGGGAAACGAGCCTAGCCGATCGTAGAGGCTCGCGATTGTGGGGGAAAATACAATTTCTAGTACTAGTAGAGGCAAAGTAGAGTGACAGATACTAAAACATTAAAACAAAATAGTCGTCCATTGTTGTATAGTACGACATTGGTTGGTTGTTGGTTGGTTGCTGTGTGCGAGTCCACTCCGTGACTTCGCCTCGTTGTCAAGCAAAATCTGACACGAAACAAGCGGCGAACGGTGAATTTCATTTACGAATCGCGACCAATCTCCAGACTCCGTGCGACCGTAGCGAAATCTGACACGCTGGCAAATCCAGGTTTGACCAGAGCGGAATCCCATTTCGCGCACCTACCGTGCCGTGTGTGATTGTTGAGGGGGGCTGGTGATGAGATTTCGGGGTTTTGAACAAACTTGAATATGTGGAATCCCTGGGTTGGGCAGTACTTCAAAAGTTTCGGTGAGGTGCAATACTTTTTTTAACGTAATTTATTAATACACCGAAAGGCACTTGCCTTGGTTTGGCCAGTTGGTGCCCCCTTTCGGTGTGACCAGATGGCCGCGAAGCCAGCCTTCCACGTCCATTTCCTGGCGTTTTATCCCGACTACGATCCAAGAGCTTTATTTTCTGAGTAGGCCCCACTCCATGTTGATGTTACAACCGAGGATCGAAGTGAATAGGATAAAGTCACCAAGTGTGAAAGGAGAGAACTGTGAAGTCTCTGTAATGACCTTGTTAATAAATTGAAAGAGAACAAGATGATTATAAGATAGAAGTACAAGGATATAAATAGTAATCCTAGCTAGCCATGTACTCTGAGGGGTACATTCCCTTATTAACTGAATTGCATTGCTACAGTAACCACGACTATTGCCATTCTAGACAGTTACCATGTTGCATTTCGCAACTGCCTTGTGCGTGTGATAATGAGAACGAGAATGAATGGACTATGAAATGAAGTGAGTACAAATATGAAACCCTAATTGGTTGTACCCCCTATGGGATACCCCACTATAGCCTACATAACAGCATAAGCTACAATGTTCTGACACACCCCCATAGGCAAAGTGGGGGAGAACAAGGGGTCACAAGACCAGTCAAGCAAAGCAAAGCAAAGGAAAGCTCAGGGTGGATCACAAAGTCACCACACAGTCCGAGCACAGGGTCAAGGCCACACGGCCAGTTCACATGCAAGAGTACACACATATATATAAAGCTAGACAAGCAAGAGCAGGTATATATATATGTGAGAGTACAAGCAAGGTCAAGAGGAGAGCAAGTGAGGCAAGACGGGCACAAGACCCAGCTGAGTGCAGAAGCGCTGATGATCACAAGGCGGAAGTGCCTTGGTGAAGACATCAGCAGTGTTGGCCTCAGAGGCCACGTACGCAAGCCGCAACTGTCCACGTTGCTGTAGCTCACGAGCAAGGAAGTAGCGGAGAGCAATGTGCTTTGTTCTGTGCTCCAGTCGCTGCTCTCGACACAAGGCCAGCATGGCCTTGTTGTCTACGTACAGGACTGGAGGAGAACGAGGCGGCTCTCCAAGGTCGGTCAGCAGGTAGGTGAGCCAGCGAAGCTCCTGTGCAGCCATGGCCCCGGCGTAGATCTCAGCCTCACAACTCGAGCCAAGAACAGAAGACGAGCGAGTAGCCCGCCACGAAACAGAGCCGGAACCAAGGCTGAAGGTGTAACCCTGTGACGACCGCTGCGTAGCCTGGTCGTCAGCCCAAGAAGCGTCCGCGTGCCCAGTGAGGACCACTGGACTCCGCCCTCCAAGCACTAGCCCCATGCCCGACGTACTGCACAAGTAGCGCAACACCCTCTTCGCTGCAGCCATGTGCTCTGGTCTGTGTCTCCCAGGAGCAACATAGCGTGCAAGAATGCTAAGAGGGTATGCAAGGTCAGGTCGTGTGCAGGTCATCAGGTACATGAGGCAGCCAACAAGCTCTGGGTACGGGCCACTCGACTCTACGGACTCATCCGAAGGCAGAGCTGAGAGCGAGTGGCGAGTAGACAGAGGAGTGGCCTGAGGCGAGGAGTACGTGAAGCCGAAGCGCTGAAGGACCTGCTGCACCATGTGTGACTGAGTCAGGGTAATGGTGCGGCGTGCTCTGTCCCGGGTGATCTGCAAGCCAAGGTAGCTGCGCAGTTCACCCAGGTCTGTGCACGTGTGTCTCTTCTGCAGCTCGGACTTCACGTAGGCGAGTCCAGCAGTGTCAGCTGTGGCAAAGACCAAGTCGTCGACGTACACGAGGATGTAGAACGGCGGCAGAGAGGTGTCGGTGCGTAGAAACAGCGACGGGTCGGCAGTAGAAGGAGCAAACCCAAGAGCCGCAAGCGTAGTCCTCAGTGTGTCGTGCCACTCACGTGGCGCCTGGCGGAGACCGTAGACTGGACGCCGGAGACTCCACTGGGTACCAGGAGGGAAAGACCCAGTGAAGCCAGGTGGGCGACGCAGCCAGATCTCCTCGTGCAGGCTGCCCTGCAAGAAAGCTGTGCTGAAGTCAAGAGAGTGCAGCTCGTAGTCACGGTGAGCAGCAACGTGCAGCAGTACCCGAAGAGTGGTCATCTTCGGGGTGGGGGAGAAGGTCTGAAAGTAGTCAACTCCCTGCCGCTGACTGAAGCCACGAGCCACGTAACGCGCCTTGAAGACAGGCGGAGAACCCGGTGGCCGCTTCACCCTGAAGATCCACATGCCACTGACGATGTTCGCCCCAGGAGGGGGGACAGCGTCAACGTAGGTGCCTGTGGACTTCCAGGAAGCCATCTCTGCATCCATAGCTGCCTGCCACTGAGAGGAGTAGGGACCCTCTATCGCCTCCGCGTAAGAGCGCGGAGTCGGGATGTCAAGTGCATCCGGGTCTCCCTCAGGGGTAAGCAGTACGGACACGAGATGAGGTGAGGCAGCTGCCAGACACTGGAACTCCTCCTGCCTGTCCTCAAGGACGTCCGTGCCAAGGGCACACTCACCCCCGACGGACGGAGGACAGACAGACTCAGACTCAGCGACGAGACTAGCAGCGTAGTCTAAGCGACAGCGAGCAGCAAAGTCGACGAGCTCAGTAACGAGAGCAGACGCAGCAGTAGACTCGAAAGAAGGGTCAGTGACAACAGTAGCAAGGAGACGCGTCACAGTAGGACTGGCAGCACGAAGAGAGTCCGACTCCGGGTCGGCAAGAGCAGGAAGAGAGGACTCAGGAGGAGAAGGCAAAGGGGCACGCAGAGGAGCAGTGGACGGACGCAGAGACATCCGGTGCGTGCTAGGGACAGGAGGAGGACGCTGACGCGAACCGCGACCACTAGTGCGAGCAGCACGGACAGGCGACGCAGGGCGAGACGCAGGCTCACGACGCTCAGCAAGACCTCCAGTAGGACCAGTGTAGGGAGAAGGAGCAGGCAAAGGGGAGGTAGGCTGCAACTGTAGCTGGGACGAGACAGGCTGTGGACACTCTAAGGGAGGAGGAGGACCAGTAGAAGGTGGAAGACCAAGAACCTGCTGCAGGAGTGGAACGAAGTACGGTCGAGGCCGCGCGGCGACGCTAGAAGCAGCAGGGACAGCACCAGAACCCTCAGCAGGAGCACCCGCTCCAGCAGCACCACCAGTAGCTCCAGAACCTCCAGCAGCACCAGGAGCACCCCCAGTAGGACTGCCAGCGGTAGTCTCAGCGCCAACACCCTCAGCAGCACCAGCTCCAGTGCACCCAGGACGAGCACCTCCGGGACCCGCGACCGCAGCACCCTCAGCAGCCGAAGGACCTCCAGCACCAGCAGCACGCCTCCAGCGCCGGGCAAACCACTCACGCAGCTCCTGTGGCGAAAGTGGCTCCCGGCGAGACGAAGCACTCGGAGAACCTCCAGGCGGAGCACCTCCAGGCTCAGCACCCCAAGGCGTAGCACCCCTAGGCTCAGCACCCCCAGACGTAGCACCCCTAGGCTCAGCACCCCCAGGCTCAGCACCCCTAGGCTCAGCACCCCCAGGCTCAGCACCCCCAGGCTCAGCACCCCAAGGCTCAGCACCCCTAGGCTCAGCACCCCCAGGCTCAGCACCCCTAGGCTCAGCACCCCTAGGCTCAGCACCCCCAGACGTAGCACCCCCAGGCCCAGCACCCCTAGGCTCCGCACCCCCAGGTACAGCACCCCCAGCCTCAGCACCCTCAGCAGCACCAGAGTCACCAGTGACCTCGACAGGCTCGACTGCGTCTACCTGGGACACACCTGAAGGGGCAGGACCCTGAGGGGGGAGGGGGTCTACCTGGGGGGGACCTGGTACCAGGAAGAGTGGGGGTGGGGGGAGGGACGGAGTGCGGTAGGGGAAGAGGCGGTAGTAGGGGACCGACTCGTCAAACGTGACGTCCTGGGAGGACAGAACACGGCGAGAGGTGGGGTGGTAAAACTGCCACCCAGGCGCGTCAGGGGGGAACCCCAGGAAGACGCAAGGAGCAGCACGAGGGGATAGTTTGTCCGCAGACAGGTCGCGGACAAACGCCCGAGATCCCCAGACCCGGAACGCCGACGCATCGCCAACCTTCCCAGTCCACAGCAAGGCTGGGGAGGTCTCCGGCCTGGAGACCCTGGGGTGGAGGTTGATCTGATGCGCCGCGTACCTCACCGCAAACGGCCACAGAAAATGGGGGGCAGCCGCATGCATCATAGACGTACGAGCGACGTCCATGACCATGCCAATGCGGCGCTCAGCAATCCCATTTTGCTGCGGTGAGTCCGGAAGCGTGAAGGTCTGACGGATGCCCCGTGCACGACAGTAGGCACGCAGAAGGCCAGAGGAGAACTCTCCGCCTCTGTCCGAGTGCAGACGCAGAACAGGAAAGTCCGAGCCGAAGCTCT